CTCAGCCTTCTCTGTTTATAAAGGCCAAGCCCTGCCCCCTGGCGGTCAGCTGACCCACTCTGTTGCCTAAGCAACCTTCAGCTGTGCTGCCCTACTGATTGGCAGCCAAGCCTTATTGCCCATGCTAGCAGCAGGCACCCTAGTGTCCTGCTACACACCTTCCCCCTCCGGGGTTGAGCCTCTTTAGGAGCGGGGCGCAGAAGTGCCCCGCAACACATGCTAAGATAGAATGACCTCAGCAAATCACAGGGCCAGGAGGACCCACGGCCCTATCTATATGAGACTTCATGGTTATGCAGTTCCAAGCCCTCTGATGGGTTTTGGCCATCTGATTTGTATAATTACTCAACAGTTATATCATGGTAACTCTGTGGTATGTGAATACCTGCCCCCTGACTACCCACCATTAGCCAGTCAGAGTGTAAAGATTTGCCTGGTCACTGAACTGTTATTTCTTAGTAGTAGTGATCCCATGAATGGACAAACCTGCCTCCCTGGACTGGCAGCTCTGGACTGGCAGCTCCCCAGTCCTCCCAGCTCCCCAACACAGCATTTTCAAGTTGTTCACCAGAAGTGTAAGTTCTGGATGAAGCAGCAAATTACATAACAAACCCTGCGTTGAAGAGAAAATATCTTAGTAAGCCAAGAGAATGGAGCTATGAGACCAGTGAGGAACAGACTGTACGAAACAGTCTGGGGAAGCTCCCCACCCTACTCCAGCCCTCTCGTGCAGGACAAAAGGGCCAGAATGATGTAAAGTGATTCTAATCTAATTTTACATCACTCTTGCTGGCAGGGGGAGAATTGCTGCATGGCAGGCACTGAAGCTGACAGCCAAGATGTATTTTTTTCAAGGACCCCCTCACAAGCCCTGGTGTGGGGAAGGGGAGAGAGAAACCTGGACACCTCCACTCCAGATATGCCCTGCAGTGTTGCAGAGACCACCAGGACAGCCCTTCCCCAGCCTCTCTCTCTCCATGCCTTATGCAGGCATGACAGACAAAGAATTGAGTAGGAGAGCCAGACTGGGGTGGAGAAGGAGGAGGAGTCTGGGAGATACCTGTAGCATTTCCATCCATCACTTTGCATGTTCTCATTTCTGCCTCTCTTTGATTGGAAACATGAGTATTGTTGATGTCCTTGTAACAATGGCAAGAAGAGGATTCCTCTCTTCTGGGCTAATCACCTGCTCTGCACTGGGGTTTCCTTAGCCGTACGATTGGTACCTGGTAAAAAGTTCTCACTGCAGTGTCAGTCTACAGCACTAAAAGCAATCCTGTTTGCCCTTAGCAGGAGGTTCCTTTGGTGTGCACATAAACATCATGGTTCTCCCTCCACCCTCTTTTCTCCCTAGGCTGAAAAGCTGCTAAGCTGCCTTTTTGACTCCTTGACATCTGACAGCATCCACCGGATTGAGACCTAACTGGAATTTAATCTGTTTGAGCAGCAAACCTGCAGAGCCCAGGGTGGGTAGCAGTGAAGAAGTCTAGATATTTAGTGGGTAAAACAGTTTTGTCATCTGTTTGTTATTAAAATGTTGAGTATGATATTTGTATCATTACCATCAATGGAGGGGCGACCAGCACCCAAAAATGAATCATTCTAGGTAGGGGTCAGGATATCATGGGGCTATGATTTGAAAGGAAACCTGTTTGCCCTACAGAAAGAAGATTCTTGACCATTTTGCCATTTGGAGAGAATTTTGGGGGCAGAGTAAATGGAGAGATATGGAGCCTCCTGCAGTGGTCATCCTGTCTACTTAGTTAAAGCCACATGAGCCAACTATATAGATGTTTGAGGCTATTTTCCAGCCACAAAAGAGTAGATAAGAGACTCTATGGGTGGGTGGAATGGAGACTCCATTTTGGCTGCTACTAGGTTATCCCATATGACAGGGCCAGCTGCTCTGTTCTCTGGGGGTGCATCTACATATGCAGACATTTACTGCACAGTAAATTTGCTCAACCATGAGTAAATTTCCTACCTGTAAATACAAGTAGCAAATTTACTTGGGAGTAATTACTGTGCAGTATGGCACATGTAAACAGCTGACTGTGAGCAAATGTGCTTTCAGTCAGCCAGGAAGCAGGGGGCAGGAGATTGCTCCCTGCTGCTTGGGCAGGCTCTGCCACTGGAGCCTGGGTGGGGACAATGTCCCACTGCCCTGGCAGCAGGGAGCTCTCAACCCCCACTCCACAATCATGGAAACCAGAGCTGGGAGATAACAACCTCCAAGCCCCCGCTCTGCAATTGCAGAGTTGGGGCTTGGATCTTCCTGCTGCTGGGGCAGGGGGACATTGTCCCCACCCAGGCTCTGGTGACGGAGCCCACCCCAGCAGCAGGCAACTCCTGGGGGCAGGGAGCAATGTCCTAGCCCCTGCCAGGAGATGGCTGTCTCTTGGCCCCATGCTCCCTGCCAACCCCTGAACTAGCAACCATGGGGAGCCTAGAGATCCCTCTGGCTGGTGCAGGGTCAGTGCAGGCAAATCTGTTCCTGCTTCCCTGCATGTGTAGACACCTGCCCGGCATGGATTTATTCTAGAGTAAGTTACTCTAATGTAAACCCACCCCAGAGCAATTGCATGTGTAGATGCACCCTCTGTCAAGGGTCAGCCTCAGGCTGCCCAAATTAGCTGTGTCAAGAATTGGGAGCTAGTCAGTCAAATACTGTAGTGAAAGTAAATCACTAATAATCAGTATGAAGATTCTGATCAGGTCCCTTCATTCATGTGGGTACAGGTTATGGGCCTGACCCATCACAATAGGGATTTGGTCAAGATGCACAAGATCCAGCTCCATATTTAGGTGGGGCCCCCTGTGCCCATGCCCTTCAGCAGGAGCTCTAGTGGGTACTTCCTTCCATGCCCACATGGGCTCTGCTTCTCTTCCCCCATGCACACCCAGCCATTGCTTGTCCTCAGTAACTTCTGTCAGTTGCACTGAGGATAAATCAAGGGTGGTTTGTTTGACATGGAAGCTAGAAAATGGAGACGGAACCACAGTAAATAGAAGGGAAGTCAAATAAAACAGAGGGAGGTTGGATGCTCTACAAAGCCTATCAAGCCAAGATAAACCTATTGATTATGCTAGATTAAAAGTCTTCCATCTTAATGTCCACTTGCCTCTGTCTCAGTGCTCACACTGACATCTTTCTCTGCTCTCCCACCTCCATCCAGCTCTCTTCCTAAGAGTACACAATCCCTTGCTGTTTTCCCCACTTTACTAGTAGCCCATGATCTAAGCATGTTTCCTTTCCTTTCACCATTTATCTGCTTTTGCCTTTCAGTGAGCCCTTTGTATTAACAGCTGCATACTCTTCAAAGGCCTTCAGTCTCCTTGGGGTGAATCAGGCAAACCACAGCCCCTCCTGGGAAGGCTCTTTCAGCCTACTCTGTTCTCAGCCCAAGAAGCCTCTTTCATTGGTTGAGATTTACACACATACTCACATCTGTCATGGACACAGCAAGCACAGTCCCAATTGGATGTTAACTCAAAGCATCACAGCACATGTAAAAGAAAGAAAGTTACTTGTGATTTCATACAGGCTGGATTTTGGGTGGCACAGTTCTACTCTTTAAGATAATAGCACTTCCTGCATCTGTGTCCAGGACCTAGATCCCACCTGTATAGAATGATCAGTTTCTATATAGGCAATGAACATCAGCCCCAAACCCTGCCCCTGTTAAAGACAACTATAAAACTCCCCTGGAACTCAGTGCATCATGACCCATCACATTGTGATTGGCAGTGCCCTATCATCATGTGCATTGGCCACCTGCTGCCTGAACTTCAGCAGGCAAGTACAACTCTACAAAAAGTTCTATATGGAAGAAAAAGGCATCTTTTCTCCAAGACACAGAGAAGTGTTCCCAGGCTTTCCCTTTTCCCCAGCTACCTGGCTTCATTGAGCCCATAGAATGCTGAAAGTTATCTTTGCTTTTTACATGAAAACTGTATATAACATTGTCACAGTTACAAATATACACCATTTACCAGTCAAAGGAATTACCCTGTGGAGTTCTGCACTAGTCAAGCCTCCATAAATTGCTGTGATTTAATCTATAAAAATGAAGTTACAGGCTAATCCAGTGGCTCAAGGATAAATTCATTATGCACAACTGGTCACTCAACAAGCCTCTGCCAGAAGCTGTAGGGTTGATGCTGGTAGGTTATCTGCCTTTGAGGTAGTTCCATGCTGTAGTGCACAGATCAACACACTCCATTCTTGTCACTTATCCCCAAAGTAAGCTGGTAGCACCTGAAATTAATATATACTTCATCCTCCTGGCAATCTCCCCAGGAGCCTGATATCCACATAAAGCACTAGAAGAATGCATTTCACATCAGTAGCATCGCTGGGAAGCTCAGCGCAGCATTCCTGTGTCCTTGCAAGAGGTCAGTACTGTTATTACTTGATGCATTTGTTTCTTAAAGTGACCCATGAAAAGGAAACAAACTAGACTTGCCAACTTCTTTGCATTTTTATTATATTGAAGGCCAGAGTGAGTTTTTCTTTCTGCTTGTGTATTACACAGAGTTCAAGCTTTTGTACTCTAGGAGTCTGTCAGGGCACCTGGGAAGCTCTCATAGGACTGTGACATCACAAGAAACAAGGAGGTAGGGGCCTAATTCACTGAGAACAGGAAGCAATTCCTATCTGCCTGTTGGAAACTGTTGGATTCTGATTCACACCAGCTGAGCTCAAATCCTTATACACAAGTTCTCTTTCAAGATGCTTTCAGCCAAGGTGATCTCCAGGCCCCTTCTCTCTTGAGATGGCCAAGAAGCCTCCAAACAAACAAAACAAACCAAAAAAAAAAAAAAACAAACCAAAAAAAAAAAAAAACAAACCAAAAAAAAAAAAAAACAAACCAAAAAAAAAAAAAAACAAACCAAAAAAAAAAAAAAAGAAGGGTGGGTGGGAGAACATCCCTTGAATCTCCTGATATTCTTAAGGAAAAAGAACTAACACAGTTCCTCTCCCCTCCTTTGCTCATTCTTAAAGCTCAGAACTTCTTGGCTCTTCTCTGTAGATCAAGATAATACCATCACCCCATTTTTCCCTCTGCAGATCACCTCTAGGCACCAATAATACTGTGCTGACATTCTCATTCACTGATGGGGAACTGAGACAGATAAAGGTCACTTGACCAGGGTCACATAGTGATTCAGTGTTAGACCAGGAATAAGCCCCCCACCCAGGTTTTTGATTCTTAGCCCCCTGTTCTAACCACTGAGCATGGGTATGTTGTATCCCCCAAGGGAATGCTTCTCAACCTTTTTAGACTTGAGGCACCTCTCAGAAAATGCCAGCTCTCCATTTTCACTATTTTTTTTCACAGAGAAAAAATAATAGAACAATTTTTGTATTAAAAAGAACTGAGAGAGACCACAACAGGTCAGAATGTTTTTAACACTATGGATTCCTATTTGAAATTTCTGGGTTTATATTGTGAATCATGTTTGCACACCTAATAGTTCTAACATTGTGTGGCACTTTTGAAAAGATCTCAAGGTACCCCAGGGTGCCATAACACCTTGACAGAATCACTGCCCTAAGGGTTTCACAATAAATGTCAAACATATCTTAGAGGCAAGCTCCAGGGGGCCTGTAGCATCTTGGATTGGGGAAAGAGTACTCTAGTAGCAGCATTATCTCTGCCATGGGAAGCCGGTCTTGATAGTCAACTCCCATGGAAAGCCTTGACTACTCCTGCAGTTGCTAGGTGGGGCTTTTCCTGTGCCACAGACAATTTTCTGATATGCTCAGAAGCCGTATACAGCTTTGAAAAAAGATAAAATTGAAGGGGTGCCTCCTAGGAGTTTGATTTATTTAAAAGAGAACATTCATATACAAAGCAGGTAGAACAGAAACTGGAAGCCAGGGAAGACCCAAAAGGCTGCATGGTAGGAGGTATAGGAGGTGATGTATCTCACAATATCCCCATGCCCTCAGTGCCAAGTCCCTCAAGTTTAGGGTTGGGATTTGATTAGACTCCAATGAGGTTGAGCTCTGATGTTTGAAATGAGGTTGAGCTCTGATGTTTGAAAAGTAGTCACCAGGGATGACAGGCACCACTATGGATTTGGCTGCTAATGAAAGAGCCATTCAAGATCCATCTAGAAAAGAGATGTCCTAACCAGCCAGGAATGAGTACTCCCAAGAGAGGGGCAGAGAGCCCCCCAGAAGGACTGCACCCAGCAGAAAAGGGCCAAGGAGTGTCTGTGATCAGCAGGGAGGCTAAAGGCTGTTGTAACAGGACAGATCGTTGACTGTTAATGGCAGGGCTGAGAATGCTGTCCAGGTCCAGCTGCTTCTCAGCAAGGTGGGCAAGCTCTAGGACATCTGCATCAAGGCGGAGGGGCAGGGAGCACTCCAGGACATCTCTGCCTGGACAGCTGGGAATGTGGCAGTGTGTCCACACTTGGACTGGGGCCAAGAGCCCTCCAGAACGCTGGTACCTAAACAGCAGGGCAGGGGATGTTCTGGAGCACCCGCTGTGGACAGAGACATAGAAACCCTGGGACATCTGAGCCTAGAGAGCAGGGCAGGGAATGTCTAGGCCTAAATGGGGGCAGAGATTGCCTCAGACTAGCTGTGCCTGGGGAGAGTGACAGAGACCTCTCCTAAACACCTGCCTCTGGGCAGCAGGCCCAGGAACACTCCAGAACGTCTCTCCCTGAGCAGAAGGGAACAGTAGATGCCATCTGCTATGGCAGGTCTATGCTCCCATTTCTAGGTCTTCCACCCTCTCTAGACTAATCCACTTGCTTCCCTGGCTCTGGGGGTCCCTTCTCTCAAGACATGCCTCATCCCCCAGCCAGGTTTGCTTTAGGTTCCTCTGCTGCTTACCTGCAAGGACTTTTCTTTTCACTTCTTATAAAAGGAAACCACAGACACTTCTCCTGCCTCAGACTGAATCTTGTGAGCGAAACAGACTAACTAAAACAGGCACTGCAGCAGGCAGACTCCAGGCAGCCCTTCCCCTGCAGAGAGGTAGCTCCCCCACAGCCCTCGCTCTTTTTCCAGGCATTCAGCATAAGCTAATGGAGTCACTGGCCTGGCTAATGGTGTGTATAATTTTTCAACACAGG